CCCTAATAAAAAATCGTGAAAGATTGTATGGCAAAAAGACACATGCACTACAACCTGAAGTTGGACATTTTACAATATAAAAGGGGCCTTTTTACTTGTGCCCATTTTGGATGAGCATCCTCATAAGTCAAATCCATAGACAGGTCAAATCTGTGTCATGTCATGTTGCATTAGGTCTTAAAGTGACAGCATCTTAATATACCGGCTGCAGTAAGTGTCATTAATGTTAATCAATATAAGTGAAAGTTCTATTAAATTTCAAAGTTCTTTTTTAAATTTTAAATTTTTTTAAATTTAATTTTAATTTTAAATTAATTAATTTAATTAAAAAATATATATTTTTTAATTTTTTTTTAATTTTAAAGTTCTATTAATATTCAGACGCTTACAAGGATGTCATATTTTTTACTTCAAAAAAATATATATATATAAAAATAAATTACCAGCCTACATGACAAGGCCCATAACAAAAATATAAGCGCTTGCACTTAGCATCGCTGTCAGATGGCACGTGTCATTTTTCTGAGTGGAGGCATTTAGCAACCATCCAGAACACCCTAGCAACCACATAACAATCATTCAGAATACCCTAGCAACTTGAAAACGGCGTCAAGCAACGTCAAAGTTTGTTCACAAACTATACTCCACTAATTTGTGCTATTGCTTGTAATTTGTTATTGCATTCATATTTTATTACTGACTATTTTTTTGTCTTAAAAAAAATGAGAAATTTCACTGGTGTAAAATGTTGATGTCATAACATATTTATTAAGTTTAATTAAGGTTACATGGATCAAAAACAACAAAAGCAATACAAATGTGACATTTATTATAATGGTTTTATGTGACGATTGTTTTAATTTAATTTAAATTGAAAGTTGTTGTATTCTTAAAGCCTATTTTAATGTTAAAAACGATGGCTTTCAATCATACTGTAATGCTGAATTGCTATGATTGCTCATTTCATTTGCAGAATTTTGAGACCCAAAAAGAAACACTGAACAAATGTGTGATTAATTAGTTAAATGAGCTGTATAAGATTGTGGCCAAAACTGGTACTTCAATCAGTTTCAAATTACTGTAGAGCGGTGTATCCCCTCCCCCTCCCCCTTGACTCGAGGTTGCCAGATAGGCTGCAGGATCCAACTTTTTTTACCCCACACGTTTGTAGCTGCAGCTGTGGTAACTAGAGCAGAGCTGGCAACCGCAACACTACTGACTTCGTGATTAGATCGGTGGAGGGTGGAGCATCAGACCAAAACACAACATGACAGTTGAGGGCTGCAACAACACTTTTTAAATGACAATATCCTGGCCGGACTGCTGTTGTCAGTGATATAAGCATTTGAAATGAACATGATTGCTTAATGTCTAGTGACACATCAGGGCCATTTTATTATTTGAAATAAATTTATTACATACAGCTCCCTTAATTTTTATAATCGATTGACAGCACTATTATATATAATGCTTATCTTTTGTCTTCAAGGTCTGCCAATCAAATGGGGGTCATTCTAACTTTAGTGGAGCCAGTGGTTGTCATCAATAAACTGGGGACGTCCTTCTTTGAGATGGCCCTCACACAGACTGTTTACAACCAGTCGCTGAGGGCAACACGAGGAGACAGTGATCAAGCACAGGCGTTATCCTCGCGCTTTCTTCTAATTCAGAGTGTGTTATCCTCAGTGGCGGCCATGTTGTCCATTATACCCCTGAGCCGCATGGCAGACCGTCATGGACCTAAAGTCTTCCTGGTGACCTCTCAAATGGGTTCAGTTTTGGGCATGTTTATGCTTGTAATCTTCATGTACTGTGATGTTCCTCTGGAGTTTCTGTACTTGGGCTCTTTGCTGCATGGTTTGAGTGGAGGCGGGCCAATGTTCTGGGCCGGGGTGGCTGCCCTGGCGTCTCTGAGTTCGGAGCAGTGCAAACGCACTCTTAAACTCAACATCGTGGACTTCTGTTTTGGGGTCGCAGGGGTTGTGGGAGGTCTCCTGTCTGGATATCTGTACCAGATGGGACCATCAATTCTCCTCTTGACAGCAATTCTTGTCAGCGTTGTAGCACTACTGTACACTGTGTTTGCCTTCTCTGACTTGAGATGTTCTCAGTCCGAGGGAGAGCCGTTGCTGAGGGAATCCGTAAGTGGGAACACGATGGATCGAGTCTCCGTAGGGATGCTGATGACAGCCATGGTGCTGTTCATGTTAGGTGTGATCGGGGCAGAAAATGTGCTCCAGCTGTATGTACTGAAGCCCCCTCTGAGCTGGGACTCGGTGTGGGCAGGATATGGCAGGGCCGCCACCAGTGCCATGTACCTCAGTAGCTTCTTAGGGGTTGTGATTCTGTTCAATGTGTTGGGAGACACAGCCCTCACTCTTTTGGGTATTGTGTCTAACTGCACAGGGATGGCAATCATGACATTTGCATTAGAAAGCTGGGTCTACTTCCTGGGTAAGTTGGTATTAAAAGGGGTAGTTCACCCAAAAATTGAAATTTCAAATGAAAATAATTTACTCACCCTTAACGGAGTAGTTTACTTAAAAAAACAACTTTTGCTGATAATTTACTCACCCCCATGTCATCCAAGATATCCATGTCATTCTTTCTTCAGTTGAAAAGAAATTAAGGTTTTTGATGAAAAGATTACAGGATTTTTCTCCATATAATGGACTTCAATGGGAACCAAATGGTTCAAGGTCCAAAACACAGTTTCAGTGCAAACTGCCAACTGTTCAAAGGGCTTTAAATGATTCAAGACGATGAATAAGGGTCTTATCAAGCGAAACGATCGCTCATTTAAAAAACAAAAAACAAAGTTTAAGTTTTATAAGCTCAAATGGTCACCGTGATCTGTTCTGTGATGCACATTCGTGACTGTCCTGTTCAAACTTGTTCATCAAAATGAACAAATCTTTTTTCGTGTCATTTGGTTGATTCAACGAACGAAATGAACGAATTGACTTGGAAAAAGATTCATTCATTTTGATGAACGAGTTCGAACAGGAGAGTCACGAATGCGCATCACAGAACAGAGCAAGGTGACCATTTGAGCTTATAAAACCCCTTACCTGTCACCCCCCTTTTTGAGAATGGGGGTTAAAATGCACTATTCACACATAAATGGTTGTAATTCAAGAATGGTTTGGAATATATACCCAAGTTTGGTCTTGTTTTAACGAAAAACACTCAGCACTTCAAAAAATAAAGTATGAAAAAGTTATGGAAGTTTAAATTCACAGTAAATCAAATATACTGTACTATATATATTTTTTTATTTTATATAAAATATATATGTTACAAAATATTTTTTACTCTAAAATTACTATAAAATCAAAACCATAAATCTAACCAAGTTATGTTCCAAATTTGAAGTTGATATCACAAAAATTGAAGTTCCCATGAGATTTTGTTTAGGCGTAGTACCAAAAATAGCCACTGGGTGCCATTGAATTCCGTTGAATATAGTTGTATACAATGCCTTAACAAATTAATACATTTCTGTCCAAATATCAATTTTGTCACAAAATTTGGAACCTTGAGACGCAGACCTTTCTGACAATATGTGTTTTGTCAAGATAGAAAAGGTTTTGATCATAAATTATTAAATATAATGATGGGGAGGAGCCTGATAAAATAAGTACCATTTCTATGGTAACGCAACGTTCAATTATAAAATGGTTTTCACAGGATGAATTCTGAGTTTATAAGCTTTCAAATGATACCTAATTTATGATAACTACTAAAATATGATATAATGAAAAAGGCGATAAAAAATTATATTATATTTTAGAGGATAATATGTGTATATATATATATATATATATATATATATATATGAAGAGTTCAGATGCAAAAGCCTCTAAATGCCATTTGAAATTTTCTTCTTGAATGATGATTTTTATCAAACTTGTATATTTAAGTTCAGTGATCTCACTTAAATGGCAATGATGATTACCTATTAATTGTTATTTAAGTGAAATTACTAACTTTAAATATACAAGTTTGAAAAAAATCATCATTCAAGGAGAAAATTTCAAATGGCATTTGGAGGCTTTTGCATCTGAACTCTTCATATATATATATATATAACAGATATTTTATTATATATATATTTTTTTAATATTATAAACTTTTAGCATAAAAACAGAAGTTTCAATGATTAAAAGTGGGTGCATCGACTTTTTGTGACAAAGGTCAAAACTCCTGTTATGATGCAGATTTTTTGAGGCGCACTCTTGTCATAAATTCGTCAATTACTCTTCTACATAATTTGTAACACAAAACAGGGGTAGAATATTTATTTAGAAGTCTTGCACCTTTCCAACAATATATAATTTGTCATAATTATATTTAATAGAAATATAGTGAAGTAAATGTAGGTGTACCGGTACCCGGGACGGTGACAGTTAAGGGATTAAACTTTGTTTTTTTTTTTTTTTTTTTTTTTAAATGAGCGATCGTTTCGCTTGATAAGACCCTTATTCATCGTCCGGAATCGTTTAAAGCCCTTTCAACAGTTTGCAGTTTGCACTCAAACTGTCTTTTGGACCTTGAACCGTTTGGTTCCCATTGAATTCCTGTTATGAAGATAGCAGATGAACCCAAACGCAGACAGTATGCTAACACACAAGGTTTATTATAACAGAATACAGGAGAAAACAAAACCCACGAGGGGCTAAAACAGAGACAATACGAACGAGGGATAACTAAACTAGATACCACTTGACAAAAACTACTAGTCTATTAACAAACAGCAAATACAAGACATACAAGACAAGGATAACAAGGGGGCGGGGTAACGTAACGAGACAACACAAGCACATGGCCCAAACAGGCCATGCACTTGTACACAAAACATGATTCTGACATGATCCTGCCTCACGACTAGAGAAAATCAAGGACAAGAGGGCAGAATCATGACAATTCCATTGTATGGAAAAAAAATCCTGGAATGTTTTCGTCAAAAACCTTAATTTCTTTTCGACTGAAGAAAGAATGACATGGACATCTTGGATGACATGGGGGTGAGTAAATTATCAGCAAACGTTTTTTTAAAAGTGAACTACTCCTTTAAGTGGTTCCAAACCTTCATTTATTTATTTCACAAAAGAAGATATTTAGAAGAATCTCAGTAACCAAACAGTTGATTGGCCCCATTTACTCCCATACTATGAAGGGGGGAAAATATTATGGAAGTCAATGGTGTTCTTCTACATTTCCATGTTGTCATGTAAATTATTAAAATCTTATAACTCCACGAGCATTTTTATACTGAATATACATTTTTAGTTATGCCAAGCTCTAAAATATTTTATCCAGTTAACAACAATAATACAGTTAACTAGGAGTTTAAGGATCTGTTTATACTAATAGGGGTCATAAGTCCAACACGACTGATATACTGTGCAATTTAAAAAATCATCATTGTTAAGCTGTTTTGGTTTTTGTGAGTTTCTGCATTGAGCTATGTTGTATTATACAGCTAGAGGAATCATGATGTTCGCCTGTGTTCCCATGCCAACTCTGCGAGCAATGCTGTCCAAGAATCTGCCTCCTCAGCAATATGGTAAATTCCCAACTGCACAGAAACAAAAACTAGACAGAGAAGAAACTATTGTAGCAGGCCATATATGGAAGTCTCTTAGAATGTGCTTCATCTAAGTACAAGTCATATATTTGAGGTCATGATGCATGCTATTTGATACTTCATGAGAGTCCTCCACTGTTTCTCTTGGCAGGGCGAGTATTTGGGCTGCTCCAGCTGGTTCTGGCTGTGACTGACCTCTTGTCTAATGTCTTTTTCACCTCCATTTATCCACTAACTCTCGGCTGGTTCAGTGGCTTCTGCTTCCTCCTCTCCTGTGCCATTAGTTACATTAGTGTCGTCCCGATCATGTAAGTAAATCAACCGTAAAAACAAAAACAACAACAACAACAGTAAACGTTTTTTTGGTTTCTTCTCAGATCATGCGTAGTAACAGCTACTTATTTTGTTTTTCAGTTATCTAAGTGGCAGAGAACATGGAACCTGAGAACATGAAAATGTGTCTGTTGCAATTCTTTTTGAGCTGCTAATGAGATATGGTGATTGAAAATATATGATCAAATTATATTTCAATGCGTTTGCATTTCATGAGACACTTTGCATTCATTCACAAAATTTTGTGTTCTCTTTCAAAAGTATTACATTCCCCAAGAAACGTTGTTTTTTTCACAGACCCTTTGCGTTCTCTCACCAAAGTTTTGCATCCCCATTAAACTTAGGGTTCACTTGCAAAAGCACTGAAATATTCACAAAAGTTTTGCAAGTGAGGGCAAGAGCATTGAAAATACAATTTTTCTTCATATGTCATTTTTCCCCATCACCATGTGCCTTAAAGGGATTGTACCTAAAACGAAAATTAAAGGAATATTTCACTTGACAATAAAAATGATGTTATCATTTACTCACCCTCAAGTTGGTTCAATCCTGTATGAATTTCTTTCTTCTGCTGAAGAACGGAAGGAATATAGGAAAATAATTTGAAGAATGTCGTTAACCAGACAATTGATGGGGCTCATTAACTTCCATCGGAAAAAAATAAATACTATGGAAGTCAATGGGCTTCGTTAACTGTCACACAAACTGTTCACTTTTAAGAGAACAATTCCTTTAAGTCATAATTTACTCAACCTGGTGTTGTTCTTATTCTGTATGCTGTTCATACTTTTTAAGACCACAAAATGAGATATTTAAAAAATGAAAATGTCCCACTCGTGCTCTTCCATATGTGAGGGATCAGCATCAACCTTTAATAAAATATGCAAAAGAATGATACCATGCAACATGTTGTAAATCTAACACGGTTTTGGGGGTATACAATATGGTTTGGTAAAAAAAATAATAATAATAAAATAAATAAAGGTATTATTTAACAAAAATCCTGACCTTGGCCTTTGCTCTTCTGTGCAAAGCTATAATGTGACGTGTGCGTTCATGAGACACTATTAGTGCCACAGTTCAATCTGACTCGCCCAGAAAAAGCACAAAGGTTAAATTAAAACAGAAATTAAGACGAATAAAAAAAACCACGACTGAAATACAATGCCTAGAAATCCCAACAAATTATCTGTGTACTTTCTTAACTGTGAGTTGAATATCTCCAGACCGGAACTCCAGTTGTCAGATGTGAATGACAGTTGCCAGATGTGAACGCAATAACTTCTTTTCCTGGTCACTATTCACTGTCATTATATGCCACGAGCACAAGCCTTTTGCGGTCCGGCAAAGAAATAAGGGTATTCGGTATTAGAACGTAACTAGGATCAAAAAATGATGACTTAATTTTCATTTTAGGGTGAACCAACACTTTATATTATAACCCTCCATATATTTCTATTGAATATCTATATTGTTAATTAAATTATTTTATTGATAGAGAACAACATTACAGATGGAGTATATTGTAAATATACCATAAATAGTCTGTGCTTCCTGTATAGGTTATTCTCAATAAACCTCATTTAAAGAGCTTGATGCTCGTTGGTTGGCTGCTCAGTCATGCTGTTTCCAAGTTGGCTATATCGTAACAGCATGATTATGGTGTTCTGCAGTTCACAAATAAAGGTTCTCTTTCATAGGTTCACTCAACGCTGCGTAGCTTATGACGCAGTGGGAACGCCCTCTGGGTGTGCCCCTAGGAAGACTGCGCTTGGATTCGGTTCTGATGCAGGCCCGGTTGGCTCCTGCCCGAATTTCCAGCCTTCTGACATGTTTGGCCCGTTTTTCACTCGGTCATCATGTTTCTGTGGGCCCCATGGCCGCAGCATCCCTGGTGCTTCCCCTTGGGTTACTCCACATGAGGCTGTTCCTCTGGTGGATGAAACTCTCAGGTGCCCGGTCCACAGGACCGGCTTTTCGCCTATTGAAGGTGTCGCGCAGCTGCCTCCGCGCTCTCAATTTGGCGGGACCCTCTTTTCCTTCAGAAAGGGGTCAGCATAGGTGCAGTTTTCCGTCGCCAAATTATCACGACGGATGCTTCTCTAACCGGATGGGGTGCGGTTTTCGAGGGCAGACCAGCAAGCGGTGTTTGGACTGGAGAGACTCTCGATTGGCACATAAACAGCTTGGAGCTGAGAGCTGTTTCCCTGGCCCTTCTTCACTTTATCCCCTTTCTCAGAGGGCATCACGTCATTGTCAGAACAGACAATATGGCGGTGGTGTCTCATATAAATCGGCAAAGGGGCTCGCGGTCGCACACCCTGGACAGGCATGCACACTGCCTTCTCCTTTGGTCTCAGGATAGATTCCTGTCACTGAGGGTAGTCCATGTTCCGGGAGCCCTGAACCTCGCAGCAGATTTTCTGTCGAGGCAGAATCTCAGGTCGGGGGAATGGGCGTTTAACCGTCAGACAGTAGCTTTAATTTGGAAGGTGTTCGGAGAGGCGGAGGTGGACCTCTTTGCATCCCAGGAGTCGACCCAGTGTCCTCTTTGGTTCTCCTTGATCCCCCCAGCATCTCTGGGGATAGATGCATTCGCCCACCCTTGGCCGAGTCAGAGACTTTATCCTTTCCCGCCGGTCAAGCTTATCCAGGCAGTTCTTTCTAGGGTGAGAGAGAGAGCGGAATTCGTCTCCTCCTGATAGCCCCATTCTGGCCCTCCCAGCCGTGGTTTTCAGAGCTGATTGCCCTCTTGGAACTCCCCCCTTGGGAGATTCCGGTCAGGGAGGATCTGTTGTTCCAACTTCAGGGCAGGATATGGCCTCTTCGTCCCGAGATTTGGAAGCTGTACATGTGGCCCATCAGAGGCTGTTAGCTTTGGACTTTGGTCTTCCCGCTGATGTCCAGGAGACCATTGCAAATGCTAGGGCCCCCTCCACGAGAAAGTTGTAAGTGGGGGTTTTTTGTTTCTTGGTGATCAGTACACTCTATGGACCCAGTCAACTGCCCAGTTGGTTCAGTGCTGGAATTCTTACGGAAAAAGTTTGCCTCGGGGGCGGTGGCTACTACCTTGAGATATTATGTTGCCGCTATTGCTGCTCACAGAGAATCGGATGAGATTCCTATGGGCAAAGTAAGATTAGTTTCTGCTTTTATGTGTGGGGTTAGACGCCTGAAACTAGTACGTTCCCTGGGTATTCCCTCCTGGGACCTCTCTATCGTTCTGGAGGGCTCAACAGAGGATCCCTTTGAGCCCTTGGAGTCAAGGTTGTTCTCTTGTTAGCTTTAGCTTCCTTGAAGCGAGTTGGAGATCTGCAGGCCTTTTCCATTAGCGAATCATGCACATTCCACCAGGGGCGTGGCTTCCTCTCAAGCCCTTTTTATAGGTGCTCTCCTGGAGGACATTTGTATGGTGGCAGGATGGTCCTCTCTGCACACTTTGTCAAATTCTACAATTTGGATCTCAATACGGCTCCAGGTTCCCAGGTTTTGTCTGCTTGAACCAGTCATACGTGTTTTCTATTATTGTTTTTAGTTTCGGCAGCACTGTAGCTTGGCGAGTTTGGTATATCGTTCCCACTGCGTCATAAGCTATACGCAGCGTTGAGTTTTTTTATTTATTTATTTATTACAAGGACAGTGCATATTAACATGACAAGTCAAAATATGCCAGAGTAAGCCAAAATGCTAGTTTTCATCTGCAGTACTGGGCCAGATGTACAATAGGCAACCTAAAAATACAATGTAAATACAACAAATATAATTAAAACATAACAAACCAAAAAAAATATATAATAAAATAAAAAAAAATCAATGTTGACATATTTGCATGCTAAGAAGCCACGTTTTAAAAGAAGAACGAAATTCATTATAACTATTTAATTCTCTAACAGACGTTGGGATGTCATTCCATTCTTTTGAGGCTTTAAATGGTTAGTTCACCCAAAAATGAAAATTAAGTCATTAATTACTCACCCCCATGCTGTACCAACCCCGTAAGACCTTTGTCCATCTTCGGAACACAAATGAAGATATTTTTAATTTAAATTTGAGAGCTGGATCCCTCCTCCATAGACTTCCTAAGAGACTAGCACTTGACAGCCCATAAAGTCATTAAAGAAAATGTTTAAATATTCCATGTGCTTACAGCGGCTCAATTATAAGTTTATCAAGCGACGAGAAAATTCCATTACTTCCTTATGGGCCTTGAGACGAGAATTGAAGAGATTTCCAGAACGCATGCGCGAGAACTGAGCTGAGGACATTCTTCTTTGACTACTTCTTGTTACCGGCTGCTCACCGCTTAGGAGTATTACCGCCTACCGTATAAGATGATGATCCATATATAAGGCGCTCCGGATTGTAAGGCGCACAGCACTGTTGTATTTGAGAAGATTAAAGGCTTTTAAGTGCACCTTATAGTGCGGAAAATACGGTAATTGAAACGCGTATGTACAGCGTGCGTCTTCCTCTGCTTGTAAATAGAAAGTTTTGCGCTTCCAGCTATATCAGCACTTCATCTTATATACGATAGGGGGCGGTAATACTAGCGGTGAGCAGCCGGTAACAAGAAGTAGTCGAAGAAGAACGTCCTCATCTCAGTTCTCGCGCCTGCGTTCTGGAAATCTCTTCAATTCTCGTCTCAAGGCCCATAAGGAACTAATGGAATAGTCGAAAAAAGTCGTTATTTATGTTTTTTTTTTTTCGCATAAAAAGTATTCTCGTCGCTTGATAAACTTATAATTGAGCCGCTGTAGGCCCATGGAATATTTAAACATTTTCTTTAATGACTTTATGGGCCGTCAAGTGCTAGTCCCTTAGGAAGTCTATGGAGGAGTGATCCAGCTCTCAAATTTAATCAAAAATATCTTCATTTATGTTCCGAAGATGAACGAAGGTCTTACGGGGTTGGTACAGCATGGGGGTGAGTAATTAATGACTTAATTTTTATTTTTGGGTGAACTAACCCTTTAATTGAGAAGGCAGATTGACTAAAAGCAGTTTTCCTAAAATTAATAACACAGTCCCTTCTAAGTGAACCTCTAGTGAGACGACTGTTATCCGACCTTAAACTCACAAACTCACTAAGAGGTGGTGGGGCCAAGCCATTAAGAATTTTATAAACTAAACAGCCATTTGAAAACTTAACAAAGTTTTCCCAACTCAACAAATTATATTTTGATAGAATTTTACAATGATGAAAATGACGTGGTTTCTTATCAAAACATTTTAGCGTTTGTTTATACAGAGATTGTATTGGTAGCAAGGCGGAGTGGTTGGCCTGAGACCTGAGCTTGGGTAGACATTGAATTCCTGATATAATGAAAATTAGATAAATTGTATTTTATTTTCTTAATGTTAAGAATATAATATACTGTTCAGTATTTGAAATCTGGGAATTAAACTTAAGATTGGACTCAATGATAATACCAAGATATTTAAATTCTGAAACAATTTGAATTTTCTCATCGTTAATAAAAATGTCCGGAT